CACACACACACACACACACACGCACAAGGGGCCAACACACCACTTTACCCATAAGCCACTACATGACACCCACCAACATCATGGTTGGACTAATGGATGGATGGAAGGGTGGATGGATGACAACACTTGCACAAATGAATTGGCTGAGTTAGTCTGGGTTAGTTGAGTCTGATCAGAGTTCCTGCAGCGTTCAGACCTCCTCAGGCTCCTGTAAGAGTGAATACAGACCTTTATCATGACAGAATCCGAATTCAAATATCAAAAGCTTGGAGAAGCCACTTGACGTCTCATTTGAAACTGTATATTGTATCTTTCCTGTAACACAGGAGAGAAATGAGAATAAAACCACCTCATGATCTTCCTGTAGAGCATTTCAAACAGCCTTATATTAGACACGTGCAACTGTTGTTGCATTTAAGTGACAAATATTTGATAAAACAAAACATGAACCACCTTCAAATTGGATCTCTCAATTTCTCCAATCATAAACACACCTAACTGTTCAAACACTCAAAATCACTGTAAACAAAAGCTAGGGAACTCTCATCAGTGAAGTGATCAACGTGGAGTGTTTCTCAACCCAATATAAGCATGAAATTACCATTAAGTCATTGTCATTATTAATTGCAAGTCCAGTCAAAAGACAAAGATCTGTTGATTAGGAATTTGGAATGAATCAAAACAGCTAATGAGTAAAAAGAAATACAGAGATATCAGTTGAGAGTCACTGATGCTGCTCATATGAACACAAACACATTATCACACACATGAAATAAACATACTCATCAAATCAAGGGATTTGTTCTGTCTGTGCCAGTAAAACTGGCTCTTGTAGTGATTCAGGATGTTTGATCTTTTCTGACAGCTGATAAAAGTGTAAAACCCTGAGAGAAGAACAGCAACAACAACACAAACGTGATCAGTCTGAAACATTTATCTTTAAAATATTTGATAGAAAATGAAAATCTAAAAATTGTGATATCATTTAAATCAAGACAGCCCAATAAAATCTGCTTGTCCAGACTGAACCATCATGTGAGATTTAAACTAAATTGTACATTTACATCTGTGCATTTACAGACATTTTGGTCCCACTTTATATTAAGTGGCCTTAACTACTATGTACTTACATTTAAATGAATCATTTGGTATAATGCACTTATTGTGTACATACATGTTTTTACATTGCACTTATATTAAAAAATAAAAATAAATACCTGCATGCAATTACATCTGTAATTGATTTCTGTTATTACATTTATAATTAAACTGTTGACCCATCCCTTACTACTTAACCCACCCTTAAACCTACCCATACCACCAAACCTGTTCCTACCCTCACCCGTATCCCACCTCAATAGCAGCAAAAGTGTTTTGCGACACAATATGAACACAATAAGTACATTGTACTTATTTATGGATGTACGTACCTAGTAGTTAATGCCACCTAATATAAAGTGGGACCGACATTTTTATCCGAAGCAAAATGTAAGTCAAGTGTTTTAGTTTATTCCTAGTGTAAAACCCTGAGAGAAGAACAACAACACAAATGTGATTATCACTTTCTGCTGAGAACACAAACATTTGCAGCAGAAGAGCTTCAATTTCAGTCTGAAATATTTACTTTTCAATATTTGACAGAAAATGAAAATCACAATATTTTCCCAGGAAAAGTGAGAGTTAATCTGTTAGGTCAATTAAACAGACTCAGACTAAAATCTACATTTACATATATGCATTTGGAATGTATTATGAAATGTAGGTTTATCTAGTTGATTAATATTTACTGTAGTGTGTGATTCAGCAGCTCTGTCTGTCAGTAAAGTCTGAGGAATAAACAGTCATATTTCAGCTGGAAGAGAAACACTGACGTCGGCTGGAGAGACTCAAACACATTCACTGAGCAGATCCACACAGATGCTAGTGAACTGTAATCCTCCCTGAAATGAAAGCTCTGTCATCATTTACTCACATTCATGTTGTCACAAACCTGTATGACTGACTACTTCTGTGAAATACAAAATTAGACATGTTTAGTGGACATCGTATATATATATATATCAAGTCAAGTCAAGTTGAGCTTTATTGTCATTCTGCTGCATGTGGGGACATATATACATACATACAGTCATGGTCAGAATTATTGGCACCCTTCATAAATATGAGCAAAGAAGGTGTAACGAATCATCCACTGAAGGCGAGCGTAGTGAGAACCCAAGTGCAGTTTTATTTACAAGTGTGATCCAAACATCCAAACAATATACACAGACTTGACTTGACTTGACGAGG